ACACTTGTTTATGACTCATTTCAGATCAAGTGTTTCATGTGGGCGGTGCTGTTGGGACTTGTAACGTGTACGGTCCTCAACATCCTGTGGTAAGGTCACATTCATCATGGAGGTATCCTCATGATTGGAAAAATATTCCCAAATGGTGAGTGGTTCTTGTACACCGCCTCCTTTACGGATGGTGCTCATTCTCCTCTTATTTTTCTTACTACATCCCGCCGTTCAGGTGCTGGGCGGTGCTGGATATCGTACCCCAGACTGACTACTGCGAGGTGGTGAGTCACGTCACTGACTACGACAACAGCAGCGGGCTGATGATAACCACGACCTACACGTTGACCCCGGGCATGCACGATTGCCTGGAAGACCTCTCGCTGGAACAGTAAGTGCAGTTCATACTCCCCATGGGATGTCAACAGCCTGTGCCTAGAGTTGTGGTCAGGTCCATCACAGGTCCTTTTGCAAATGCAGTCGCAAGTCCTTTTACATGTCCAGGCAGAAGTAAGAGGGTGAACCGTAACAAAGGTTGTGATTTGGCTTAGACTTGTAGTAAACTTGTGATAGACGTGTAGGGACCTGTGCGACTTATGACCACAACACTTGTACTGTTTGTGTACAAGACTGTAGAGAGACCAGTTTTCATCTGAATGGGCACAAATTTTGTGGCACCCTCACCTCAGAAAAATGAAGTGGTTCCAATGTCATAGAGATTTAAAGATCCAATATTTCCATGGCAAAAGCAGTTTACCAGCCCAAAAGTTTAGTACTTTCAATTTTGCTCGATTTGTTCACAAAACCATGCCATTTAAATGTGCCTGACTCCTGTCTTCTCAGTTGGAGGAGAATAAAGTTTCAGTAGGCGATTTCCTTGTCATGTCGCTGTTTATTTCCAAAGGTTTCTGGCTCTTTTTTTTCCCCCAGCTCTGAAGAGGAAGGTGAAATTGCCACAGTCCCTTTAACAAAAGTAAGTTCACCTTCGTTTTTTTTTCCTGACTAGACAGAGATGCATCACGGTTAATTTACAGAACTTAAAAAACTAAACTGGTCTAATCATTGATTTCTTGATATTTTGAAATATCTCACATTTCGAATGATTTAGATGGCAGGCCTACGGACCCTTCTTTGATACCATGGTTGTCTTTCTGTTGGTTAGATTCTTCAGACAGATTACCCACAATACTCCTGGGTTGCCGTCCTCATCCAACTCTTCATTACCATCAGTATCACGGTGTCGTATCTGACTATTGGATCCGCTCTCGTGCATTCATGTGAGCCATTTGAATTCAAACGCTTAAAAAAAATTTCCTTCTCCTTTCATTTTATATTATTCGCTCCATTTTCAACTTTCTGTACTTAAGTCATTAAAATTATACTTCTTGGGGCCTGCAGGGAATTTATTTTTTCCAATTTCTCCTTTAGGGTCGAATATCATGCCTGTTTCAATTTGAAATTTGTCATGTCAGTGCAACAAGGTCGTAACTTGCATTTGTTTTGTACTCAAGATACGACCTGGTTGCACTGACGCGACAAATTATTCCTTAAAGGGGAAAAACCTTAAGCTCAATATTTGAAATATCTGAACATATTCCGTTATACCCTGAAAAAGGTTACCTTCACTGTTTGATATTGAAGAACATTTTGAGTTTCCACATTTGTATTAATCTTGTTAGTGGTAAGTCCACAGTAAGTCAGGTCCCAACACAGATCATAAGTGTTGAAGCAACAGCAACAAATGAGCACTGACAAATGAATGACGCAGGTGGAACAGCCAGCGAGTTTGCTTTAGACGAGATTCGAACATTTTTTTTTCCTGTCTGTTTTGGTTTTGTTGTTTTTAGTCTTAGGATGGCTGGACGCACAGATGGCTTGGGATCAAATCGATCGCCACGTCAACACTCCGGCCAGAAGTTACAGCTTTCTCTGCTCTCAGAAGTAAGACAAAACTCAAAGGCTCCACAACAAAACAAAACCTCTGGTTTCAATGGTCCACTTTGACTTGGACGTTGTCAAGCAAAATGAAAAATGTTTCAATTTCTGTTTCTTTTTTTTTCTTCTGCAGGTATTGCCGTCCGTTCCTTTCTCTCGTCGTCTTTATTGTGATCTTTATTGTTGCTATGTTGGACCCCAAGGTAAGTCCTTCCAAACGTCGTTTTGAAATATTCAAAAACCAAGCTCACACTTTGGGGCAAAGTATGCTCGCAGGTTGAGAAAGAAAACGCTGAAATTCTGCGTTGACATTTGTCTCGTCCCAGGGCTTTGTGACCATGCTGGACAAGATCTCCTCACTGCTCCTCAACACAGAGGCGGGTCTCTTTGTCTTCCTGATGATCAGGAAGAGCCGGTCAGAGAAATACAGGTCGGTACTTGAGGCTGCAACCCAATGTCACGGATGTGGCTAGAAATAGCACACGTGGCTATGGCAGCTGCTAAGAAGCAGCTGTAACTTTCTGCATGGATCTCTCTCATCGGATGCCATCTTTGCGGGAAAATCACAACTGCGTAATCAACGCCATCAAATGCATGTGCGCAGAGCGTGGAGACATGTTCCACACATGCTCGTGTCGATCCAGATATCGTCAACGTGGGGCACAGCTGATGCCCCCCACGAAAATTTGACGTTCAAAAATGCCGATGCACATGGCAATCTGCCAAGTGATAGCATTTGAGAGAGATATAAAGATGGTTTGGTTTGGTTGCAACCGTGACTTTTATAGGAGCTTATTTTTTTTTTCAGTAGTTTTACAAAGGTTTTAGCAACATATCAAAATTGAAATCAGATCAATTCAGTGTTGGCTGTATAATTTCTGCATCAGACTGCCTGGATCTATGGATTTCCTTAGAAAGATTAGAGAAAGATTAGCAAGTGGCAGAAACCGGTTACCAGTGAAAATAACATGCGATGCTCATTGCCTGCCACTGGTTCCCATCTGCTGATTGGGAGAGTTGCACAGTTTCATATTGACCTTAGGAGAAATACTTAGTTTTAAAATACATCCAATGTTGAAATAGGCTTTGAGAAACACAGAAACCTGTCCTAAAGTGTAAGTGAAATCTTTTGTCGATTTAATCGGTTTTTTTTTTTGTCTTTTTGTCTTTTCTTAACAGCCACCTGACGATACCCTTCCCATCAAGTCCTTACCTGTATCCCTTCCACTTTGTTATGGCAGCCTACTTCATCTATGCGGTCGTCTACGACATTGTGGCATCACTCATTGAGATTCTGAGCTGAGCTATGAATGATTCATGAGTGATGAATTATTCAAATTTATTCATGACTGTGACTGTTTAAGAGTTCTTTCTCTTTCCGTCAAAAGGAGAGCTTCCATTCTGAAGTTGTCTGTAAAATAAAAACATGGCTACACATAGTGCTATGAATTATTCATAAAACATGAATATTCACGTTTTAATAATTACACGCACAGGAACAGCCCTTTTTTGATAAATGGACCCTTCCAGTTTGCATTGTTATCTAGTCTTCATTATGCTATGAAATTAGTCCTTGTGAATATGAATGACGAAAAATCATGACTATGAAATTTTGTTAATAATTCAAGATTCAATTCATTAAATCATGATTTGAATCATAACATGTTTTTCATAGATATTTGAAATTATGATTTCAACTCCAGGGTTTTTTACTCCTGTGTTGAAATCGTCAACAAGGTTTGGTTGATAACCCTGACAGTAGCATCTACTTACGCTTATTCGCTGGGATTATCAGCTAATGAATATTCAGGAATAAATAATGAATATTTATATATGATATAACACAGCATGTAAAGGTCACACCATCACTGGCAGAATTTAACCATAAGATGTCAATGTTGATATAGCACACATATATCATGTACATATATCGTGTATATGTAGCATACAAAATGTTTTGCAATAAAGTGTAAAGACCTTGTAATGTTTGAAAATTGTAACTCATTTGGAATATTTTTGTATTGATCATGGATAATTGCAAAGCTTTTTTTGTTGGGACTGAGCATGTTGTTCCTTTTTTTTTCTCCAGAAAGACCAATATTATTTTCGAAGGTGCTTGAATTTTGAGTAGTTTGCCAAAAGATTTGACAGGTCAACAGTGGGCAGTTTTTTTCTTCCAACTTTGGAATATTAACCGAATATTTCAAAGGAACATCTTGGGTATATGCTTCATAGTTCTGGAATAATACCAGAACTCACAGATATTCTCTATTTTTTGATGGTAAAACTTATCTGAATTTTTTGGTTGTTAAATAGATTGCTTTGATCAATGTGATAAAAACAGTCTATTTATGGCCAAATACTTTCGTTGTAATTGTTATTCATATTCTCTACCCTATCTCTTCAGTTAAATACGAGACAAGAACAGAGTTGAGTGGCACATTCCCTGAAGGCAGTTTCAGTTTTACTTTGACTAACTGTATAAGCACCAGCCTGTTTTCCTTGTGATTACTAAAACTGGTAGTGGCTGCAGCTAGCTGCAGACCCTGCCTTCAGCATTGTAACTGCACTCATTAGCCGTAGCCAATGAAGAAATTACTCTTTGGGAGGGATTTGGAATGTTGACTATTCCCTGTGAAAGCCTTGGCATGTATGCAGCGTTACGGAAGCGTGTAGATATTTTCCAAGAACCGTGCAATAATAAGTATATAATAACAATCGTGTGTAGGAAAAATGAATAATTTCTATTTGTAAGTGTGATGTATGAAGTAGTGATGTTGGTGGCCGGCTGCTCGGGCTCGGAGTAGTCGTACGAGCCTTGTTTGTGTTGTCATGAAACATGTCTGCACTGCGGAATAGACCCCTCGTAACGTAAGCTATTTTATGTAGTTGGGTAACTGGTCAAGGAAAACCAGTTGCGGATGTCATGTAGCTCCAGAGCATTGTCAAGCAGTGAAAATATGTGTTAAGCAAAAGTAGGTTACCAGCCGAGCTGCCAAGCGGTGTGTATTTTGTTGACTGGTTCTGTGCAGAAATAGTTTACGCCTAGCAGCTCTATCAAGTCGGTACTTTGGTAGAAATTAAGTCACTGTTTAACAGATTTTATTCCCATTCACATGAAAACTGTATACTTCCAAAAAGGACCTTCATGCATGGGGGCAGTTATTTCTTTGTTAAACAGTGTCTCTACCATTTTACTGACCTCCCCCCGTCCAGTCATCCTGTAAGTTACATTGGTCTCCATTATACATGTTGCATTCTGAAAGTGGCATTTCAAATTTTTGAATTTTATCGGTAGATGATCTAACAGGGTAAGAATGAACACACCTTGCTATTCGGTCTGTCTGACATGTACTTAGAAATCTTGAAGTGTTATTGCCAAGTATGTTCTGTCCTTCACAGTAGCCATGTTGTTGGTTTCAGTGACGGAAACTTGAAGTAACGTCTTCACATTATGTCCGAGTACTAATATTCTTGCTATCGATGTACAAGCATTTGTGACATGTATAGATGTACTGAAAAATAAAGAAGTTTTAAGTACATTCCAAGAAGATAATTAATGGATTGTCAAACAGTATAAAATCCATCCAGTGGACACCTCTTTATAATAAATGTGATTTCAACGTGATTTTTTTGGTTTTTTCTCCAACCTTTATTTCTTATAAATGGATGTAGCCCTTTTGAGGATAATTCTGACCACACTAGAAAAACCACGTGGCGTGACATTTCATTCAGCAACTATAATTCTCTGTTCTTTGATTTTTCTTTGGAAGAAAAACAAAGTAGTTTTATCTTTACAATGATTTTAGGATTTTGACCAGGAAAAAACGGACAGCTAAACCGAACAGGATTCTTCGTGATTCACATTTAGAACTTGAAGGTTAGGGATACCACAGAATTTGCTATTTGGTATGAATTCAATCGCGAAGGTTCAATCTTAGAAAGACATCAAAATCCATTTCTCAGACAGAAAAAGTAAAACTCAAGAACCAGAGAGGTTACCATCGATTGAAATTTTCACCTAGAATAATACAAGTAACGTCTTTTTAAGACAAAAACACAGCAAGAAGCGCATGAATTACAGATAGTTTGACTTTTACCAGCGTTTTTTTTCTGACGGGTTGGATTTCTCTAAAAATGTTCCTCTTTTGACATTCAGAATATTGCAATTGAATGCCACATGACTTGTCAGAATGGCCCAAGGGCCCAGCTGTTCTGTAATGTCAACTCAATTTTGATTGTATAATTATGAAAGAAATTTGGTCGAGTTATACTCTCTGCTGTGCAGGTCCACAAAATTCGTATTCGGAAGAGTGGAAGAATGCTTGTAAGTTACCCTGTCTAAACGACACCACAGAAATCAAAGTATATGATTGGAGATACAAGAATCAAACATGTCATACTGTGTGAGTTTTCATCAGTTTCGTGCATACCCACAAGAGGGCGTAATACTATATTACTGCAATCAGCCCAACACACTGGTAGATAAAGTAGATTGGACAGGGTAGAAAAGTTCCATACAACTGGTGTACTTTCTTGTTGGGTTCCCTGACTCTTTTCTCTGCCATTCTGAACCATGCAAAAAGAATTAAGGCAGTGTAGCAAAACCAAGACTTTTTTCAACAGAGGGCGGCATACAAGACTATACAAGATACAGTGAAACGTTCATGTGACACTTCCATACCCCTCAAGTTTCTCAAAAAATATCCATTTAAGGGAATATTAAGCACACAGGTCGTTGACATTAAATAACTGCCACCAATAGTGTGGTACAGTTTCAGTGATCGCGTGTCTGTATTTAATTTAACAGGAGGTTTTTGAGACACTTGATGGTGGCAAACATACTGGTCCTATGAGATCTGTTCACTTCTATTGGCATCAGTTTCAGCACCTGCACTGCAGCTCAAGCGTTGAACTGCTTTGTTTGCCACCACCGAGCGTCTCAAAAATCTTCCATTTCCACACCCATTCAGCTTTATTCCAACTCGATGAGGACGTCATCTTCGGCGATGTTGTCCCCCACAGCGCAGTGGATGGCTTTGACCTGGGGGGGAAGGAGGAGACAAGAGAGGTCAAAGTGCGAGGAATCGCTCTCAAGTCGGAGAATTCTTCATATTGTTGAGGGAGAAAAACCTGACGTGAAGAGAATTTCACAGGCTGGATTCAGGCCAGTTGTCAATCAAGAGGAGCCATGGGGGGTAGGGGTAGGACAGGCCAAATGGAGGGTGGATTTTATTAAAATACAACGGTAACGTGATCACACCCAATATGCGCCGCCTGTAGTATAATGAACACATTTCCCCCAAATATTTATTTTGGGTATTCAGAGAGCACCTGAGATTCAAACGCGGTGGTCTCCTACCCAAATGTCCACATCTGCTTTTCACAATGGAATATTCATTTCTTTGGTGAAGTTTTCTGCAGACGGGCAGTTACTTGGGACCTGACGTGACTTTTGGTTCTCACTTACTTTCCCGGTGGCAGCTGCCGAGAGGCTGTTGTGCATTTTCATGGCCTCCACCACACACACCTCCTGGCCCTCGTAGACTTTCTGCCCGACTTCAACATCGATGGCGTGTACCTTTGAAAACAAAAAAAGTGGTGATGAAGACAGTAATGCTCGCATCAACCCAAATCTAGTCAGATGAATTCAGGACGTTAAAGCAAAACTGTTAGGAACTTGCCCATGTCACAATGAAACTGCATTTGAGCCTCGGGAATGTCGCAGATTTCATTTAAGTTTCAATGACCATTGACCATCAAAATGCAATACCCGGTTTTATCGTACGGTCCAACCACCGTTTCTTTACCATGGATTCAGTGTCCCCAAATCACTACCCTATGAATTTATCACTGTGCAGCAGTGCAACGATGATACTGGTTGATTTGGGAGACTTCTTAGAACCCAAGAAGTGGTTAGGGTCAAGAATACTATGACCCAATCTGCTCCAAGCGGAACGAAAGAGGGCGTCTTTTTGGTACCCACCGCACAGCCGCGCCAGTATATGTGCGTTTGACATGGAGCACGCTGAGTATGCGTAACTAATTTATTCCGGCATGTATGGTCTTTGCGTACAAGCAGACACGTACAGGAACCCACTTGTAACCATGTGTCTTTCTTTCACCGATTGGGACTTCAGCTCGGGGGGGATAGACCTCAGTAGAGACAATGCCACACTTTGTTTATGTATATGTTATGCTATGGTGCTCGGTGCATTGTAGGCCCCCCACTGGCCCAAAAATGTGACACAAGTGTAATGTCGTCAGTAAATAGGCCTATTTACAAAGGCTGTCGTGCAATACCTTTCCTGCCATAGGCGACGCTACCTCCTTGCTCTGATCTGGTTTGACCTTCTCTGGCATTAATGCCTGCAGCTCGGCTACTTCCTTCCTCAATACAGACATGGGAAACTGGAAGAGAGAAAACAATGCCGATATATTGATCGGCTCAGAGGGTAATAGTTGTATATATTATAGGTTTAAGGGGGAATAGCTATCTACTGCCCCGGAAATATTGGGCAAGTGATACCTGTTGTCTGACTCCTCATGTACTGAGCAGAGAATGCATATTTGATAAAGACAAAAAAGTGACTGTCTGTAGAGAGCAAAAGTTAATCTTCCTCTAAAACACTGACCATGAAAATGGCAGTGTCTCGAAATTTGAAAAGATTTAAAATAATCCTCAATTTTTGACATACCACTGTGCCTTTGAATTGTAACTGAATGGCTCCTGTTGCATTATGAGATATCACCTGGAATGAAAATCACAACAAATTTATAGGCCGTGAGGGAAACTACTAGTGGTTGGAGTTGAAATATCCTGAGAGGGCAAATAGTATTGTATATTGCCCAGATAATAGCTCAATATTTACCTGCAGATCACATGGGGAACCATTGATGGTTGGTGTGATGATATCCTGAGCCATATTCCACTCGCCATCGATGGTGATGTCTGACCCTCCCACAGAAACCTGCCAGCAGAAAAAAAAATTCAAAATTTAATACAATAAATTTCAGAACCAAAAATTCACTAGCCATGATTAACGCTCCGATTCTAAAATGACTTTTTTTAGATTTCACTAGTTCTCAAACAGCTTTTGCAAAGAATCCACTTTCTTCTTTAGGATGAATTTTTCAAACATAACTGCTCTTTTGAAAACAATTACTGAAATAAAAAACACTCTCTAAACAGCACAAACTCCTAAAACAGCACTGCCCAATTACCTTGAATCCTGAGTCCGTTTTGCTGACTGTGACGTCGTGTTTGCTCCCGGCAACTGTCACAGACAACGACCATTCCTTCTCTTTGGTGGGTATTGGCAGAATCCTGGCACAAGAAAAACGGCAAACAAATTAAGACTTTGTCTCAGTGTTTGTGTTTTCCATCTGTATAAAACTACTGCAGGAGCTACAATAAAACAGGTAGAGGTTTCAATGCTCAGTTTTTGAGGCCACTCACACCACCGGGGATTTGTTTATAGTGAGCTTGCATGGCTGCCATCTTGCAGGTCAGTGCCTTATTTCCAAAGGGTATGCACAAAGGAGATTTCCCGGTGGAACAAAAGAACTGCCCTGCATGATGGCTACCACGCAAAGCCTCTATGGGACAGTTATAACTTATGTATTCCATTGTCTGTTTCTTTCAATATCTACAGAGATCAGTGGTAGAGACTCCAATCTTCTTCAAACACTGTTGGGTCATAGCAACTCCCAAGCGAAGCCTTATCGTCCTTAGCAGTTGGGAACAGCCAACAAAACCAGGTGTGTGCTCATTGAAAGTAATTTTCTAGCCCGCTGACAATGACCTTAACCAAGGTTGACCAAGGCTGGAAGCCACACAAAGGCCTATGGAAGTCGGCTGGCTAGCAACTATAACTACTCGCCACAGATATGTGTGTGTTAGCCACAGCCGCAGCCATTTGATTCAGACACCGTCTCTGGCTCTTCAGAGAATGCTGTAAAAACCACCCTCATAAATGGTCGCGTCTAGCCATTAATTGCATTTTGCAGGACAAGTTCTACTCCCCCCCCTTCTTCAAGTAGTCTCAACAAAGAGACACACCCACCTAGTTTGGTTGAGAAATTCTTGGGCCCTCCACAAGTCTTTGACGAACACGCAGCTGGCGACAGCCGCTAGCATAGCCTCATTGTCCTTGTTGAGTTGAAGGCCTGGAGTCGAACCAAGGTAAAAATGTAAAAATATGGCCAAGTGTTGATCAGAATTTGTACAGTTGCCAAGATTATATATATCTCTCCCCCTGTCAAGATTATATAGTCAGATACTGGATTTCTCACCAATTAACCTCTTATTTTGACCACCACTGCTGGGCTGTGGTATGCCCTGAATGGAGGGCTTTGTCCAGCAGCAGGCCCCATTGAACTGGCAGCTGCATGGTGAATAGACTGTATGTGTGGTATGCACTAATCCTCACACAAAGGTGCGATAGTAGCAGTCCTCCGTAGCGAAGGGGTTAAACAGAATTGAGGAGGAATTGATTTTACTCAAATAAACGATAAAAGACAGATTCCTTCAGACTGGGGACATAAGTGTTGCCGTTGTTTCTCTACTCTCACAGTAAAGAATAATTGTTAATTCCACCTTGATACTTGATACAAAAATATTTTGTTACCGACCTTTGAAGCCTTCTGGATACTCTGTCGGCAGAAATTTGGTGTTGATGTCTCCTGAGATGAACCGGGGATGGGCAATGACGTCTTGTAGGAGGGAAATGTTGTGAGTTACCCCTGAATTTCAACACAAAACAGGAAAGACAGATGCGTCAAAAAGGCTGGCATTTATATTTCTGTCGGTCTTGAAGAAAAACGTTCCCAAACTTTAAAGCACCTTCATGATTTGTTTCTGCTCTTTTTCTCTCTTTTTTTCACTCAATTTGGTAAAGACTGCAGAACTTTAAGAGAGGATTTCAAATGGAGTTTAGACATCCCCTGATGCCAAATTCCATCCAAGGTCCTGGACTACTGAGCACGTGGCAACATCGGCTTCGTGTCGGTCAGTATCACATCTGAGTTGTGGTTTCTCCTTACCCCTTATGATGTAATGATCCAACGCTCTGGACATCAGATCCAAGGCTTCTTGCCTGTCCTTTCCGTACGTGACGAGCTGAAAGGGGGAAAAATGACTCAATAACTATGAAACCACAAGTTTGGCAGTATAAATGTAAGTGTTTTGGCGTTTCACTGACCAAGTCATGTTAGGTAACGACTGAGTACATGAGAAAGTTTGAATTCACTTTAGATATCTCAAGGCAGCAAAACAAAGATGCCTATGGGAGATAGTGATGAGACTTATAAAGCCATTTATCATGGGATATCATGAGATGTCATAGGATAGCAGTAAC